CATCAGTTCTTGTAAAGGTAGAACACCTAGAGACCGTATCAGAACAATTTCGATTTCCAGCCTAACTTCGATAATCCATTTCTGAAAGAAGATAATGCTAACGGTGTATATATAATAGACAACTTATAGAAAATATAGAGGAACCATTAGACCCCGTGAATGGAGATCACATTACCAAGTTAATGTTCGGCAATACCTCGACATAACATTTCCCAATAGGTGGATAGGGAGGCGTGGATCGATTGAATGGCCAGCGCGATCACCTGATCTTTCATCATTAGATTTCTTTTTATGGGGATATGTAAAGGGCAATGTGTACAAAACTGAACCTTCAGATTCAAATGCCTTAAAAGAACGAATAACGCTTGCGATTAGGTCGGTCACGCCTGATATGTTAAATAATGTTAGAAGACAGTTTTATTTGAGATAAGGATGTTGCCAAGACGTTCGCGGTGAATATTTTGAACATCTACTTCGTTAACATCCATAGTTCATATGGTGTAGTTTATGGAAAAACTGTAATATTTCATTAGAGAAATAGAATATGAGCAATACTGAAATTCACATCTGCTTTTGTGAAAAAATATTCATGAAATCTTGCGATTTGAAGACATATTCTATAAATCACATTTCAGTATGACCCACTTAATCAATTTGATAGGAACCAGTGAAATATTTCGTTGGAGACATATAATATGAGCAGTACGACAGTACACATCCAACGTACACAGTACACATCCAACGTACACAGTACACATCCGTTTTCTTGACAGAAATTAATGAAATCTTGCGATGAGAAGACATTTTATAAGTCCTATTTCAGTATGACCCACTTAATCAATTTGATAGGAACCAGTGTTATATTTCGTTCGAGAAATAAAATATGAGTAGTGAACATTACACATTTGCTCTCCCGAAAGAAATTCATGAAATCGTGCTATTAGAAGACATATTTTATAAATCACATTTCAGTATGACCCACATCATCAATTCGATAGACCCAGTGTAATTTTTCCTTACTGAATTGAAATATGAGCAGTACAACAGTTCACATTTGCTTTCCTGAAATTATATTTCAGTATGACACATATAATCAATTCGATAGAACCAGGGAAATATTTCGTTGGAGACATAAAATATGAGCAGTACAACAGTTCACATCTGCTTTCCTGAAATTATATTTCAGTATGACACATATAATCAATTCGATAGAACCAGGGAAATATTTCGTTGGAGACATAAAATATGAGCAGTAAAACAGTTCACATTTGCTCTTCTTGAAAAAAATTCATTAAATCTTGCGACTTGAAGACATATTCTATAAATCACATAACATATAAAACACATAAAATATAAGCAGTACAACAGTACACATCTGCTTTCCTGAAAAAAACTAATGAAATCTTGCTATTTGAAGACATATTCTATAAAACATATTTCAATGCGACACACATAATCAATTCCACAGAACCAGTGTAATTTTTCCTTGGTGAATTAAAATATGAGCAGTTCACATCCTGCTTTCCTGAAGGAAGGTCATGAAATCTTGCAATATGAATACATATTCTATGNTGCAATGTTGTTAGCTATATACAAAATTAGGCATGATGAGAGAGAAATCACAGAGAAATATAAAGAGTGGCCATAAATGGCAAAAAACATGTGACCACATTTGGCAAAAAGTGGCCATAAATGGCGAAAACTCACACTTTATTTAAATACATTTAAATTAACAGTCCCCTTTGATAAAAACATCTTTCTTTTATAGGGAATATTTTGAGAATATAGAATAGAGAATAGAATAGAGAATAGGATAACATGGAATTTTTCCAGATTTTTTACACATAATATTATTTAATGGAAAATATCTAGTTGATTTATTCCTAGAAGTGGCCATAACAGGCGTGCCGACCCTATTTGAGGACATATTCTATAAAACATATTTTAGGTTAATACACATAACCAATTCGATAGAACCAGTGTAATTTTTCCTTAGTGAATTAAAATATGAGCAGTACAACAGTTCACATCTGCTTTCCTGAAAGAAAGTCATGAAATTTTGCAATTTGAATCATATATCAGTATGACACACATAATCAAGTTGATAGGAACCAGGGAAATATTTCGTTAGAGACATAAAATTTAAGCAGTACAAAAGTTAACATTTGCTCTCCTGAAAGAAATTCATGAAATCTTGCTATTTGAGGACATATTCTATAAAACATATTTCAGGTTGACCCACATAATCATTTCGATAGAACAAGTGTAATTTTTCCTTAGTGAATTAAAATATGAGCAGTCCACATATGGCTTTCCTGAAAGAAAGTCATGAAATTTTGTGATTTGAAGACATATTCTATAAATCACAATTCAGTATGACCCACATAAGCAATTTTATAGAAACCAGTGAAATATTTCGTTAAAGACATAAAATATGAGCAGTACAACAGTACACATCTGTTTTTGTAACAGAAATGCATAAAATCTTGCCATTTGAAGATATTCTGTAAATCATATTTCAGTATGACACACATAATCAAGTTGCTAGGAACCAGGGAAATATTTCGTTGGAGACATAAAATATGAGCAGTACAACAGTTCAAATTTGCTCTCCTGAAAGAAATTCATGAAATCTTGCAATTTGAAGACATGTTCTATTCATGCATTTCATTAGTTCAGACTTTCATTGTTTAGTATGATGTAAATTGATTTGAAATCCCTGAAATAATCTGTAAAAAAATTTAAAAAATTAAAAGTTCAACCGAAAAAAAAAAACAATTATATTAAGCAAAAAAACTGAAATTACAATGAAATAAAATACAAGTACTTATTAATAACCAAAACAAAAAACAAAAAAATTAAATATTGACACGAAATTTAAAAAAATTATTAACTAGAAATGAATATCACAAAATTGAAAGATTCCAAACCAAGTCAATGCACGACGTTTCGATTGTTAGTATTCACAATCATCTTCGGGTGATAACTGATTGTGGATACTAACATTTGAAACGTCGTGAATTGAATTGGTTTGGTTAGGTTTCAAATTTGTAATTTTCATTTTTTGTTAATAATTTTTTTTCATTTCGTGTCAATATTTCATTTTTTTTGTTTATTTTTTATTTGAAGATATTCTGTAAATCATATTTCAGTATGACACACATAATCAAGCTGCTAGGAACCAGGGAAATATTTCGTTGGAGACATAAAATATGAGCAGTACAACAGTTCAAATTTGCTCTCCTGAAAGAAATTCATGAAATCTTGCAATTTCAAGACATGTTCTATTCATGCATTTCATTAGTTCAGACTTTCATTGTTTGGTATTATATTAAGCAAAAAAACTGTAAGTACTTAATAACCAAAACAAAAAACAAAAAAAAAATAATATTAACACGAAATTTAAAAAAATTATCAACTAGAAATGAAAATCACAAAATTGAAAGATTCCAACAAAGTCAATTCACGACGTTTCGATTGTTAGTATTCACAATCATCTTCAGGTGATAACTGATTGTGGATACTAGCATTCGAAACGTCGTGAATTAAGTTGGTTTGGAATCTTTTAAATTTGTAATTTTCATTTCTTGTTAATAATTTTTTTTTCATTTCGTGTCAATATTGAATTTTTTTGTTTATTTTTTGGTTGTTACTTGTATTTTATTTCATAGTCATTTCAGTTTTTTGTATAATATAATTGTTATTTTTTTCAGATAAACTTTTTTTTTCTATTTTTTACAGATACTTTCAGGGATTTCAAATCAATGTATGTCATACTAGACAATGGAAGTCCAATCTAATGAAATGCATCATGAAACATTGTCAACCACCTTCAAACAAATGTTCTATTCATATTTCAGTATGAGCAACATAATCAATTTAATAGGAAGCAGGTGTAATATTCCATAAGAGATTTGAAGACACAATCAACAAATCGTATTTCATTATAATCCACAAATTAAATATCATAAGTACCAATGTTACATTTCATATTAGATATAAAATATTAAGGATATAAAATATTAGGGATACCATTTTCTGTTCATCAGTTCTCCAGAATGAAATTTGATTTTAGTATTTGACCATCTGGTGAATACACTAAAACCCAAATATTTAAGATGACCCACATTTCTAAACTGACCCTTTTCTATTTAGATAAAAACTCGTATAGTACACACTAACAAAACGAACTGAAAAAATGGAACAAGTTACAACTTTATCTGAAGTCTCAAATTGATGGAAATGAAGCCCGGAAATATACAACCGGGTGGAAACAACAAAAAATACTGATGAAAAAGCGACAAATATTGATGAAAAAAATATAATAAATAATAGCCTCCACATTTAGAAAATATGGATAGTACTAGAGTTTTTCAGTTCAAGTGATAGCAGATTAAATAATCTGAGCCCTATTACATTGGGGGAATTGTAAGTCAGTGCATTTTTACAATATGGCAAACGAAAGTATGTCTTGCACATAATAAGAATGAGTCAAAATACCTATTCTCCAACAACTCCCACAATTGAGGATATTAAGCATGTATTATATTGGTCCTCACAGGAATGTTATATATAAATTCCTGATCCAATATTTGACCAATATCCTTCTTTGTAGGATGTACTGACTTCCAAACAAATTCGTGTACTTTTATTTCAATCATTTACATGGGAAAATATGTCTCACTAAGATCAAGAGAAAGTATTCACATCAATGAAAAAGAAAATTACATTCTAAGTGACTCATCTGCATCCTTGATATACTACCACCTACTGCATCCAGGAGGGTATCTGCATATTGACGTTTCTTTCCGTATTTCAGGCCCACAATCTCATCAGTTCTTGTAAAGGTATCCTGAAAAAAAAATTGATTCATTTTATTCCACTAAAAATAAGTCTTACATACATTTTTGGGTTTTCACTCAACTAAATTGAAAAGCGCAGATAAAACCTTTATGGGAAAAAATACTTAATTTGAATTGAAATGTCACTGCTGAGACACAGTACAGACAAAATAGATATACTGTAATTTATCAACACACTTTTTGAATAGTCAAATTTCTCACTTATCAAAAACAGTTTGTTGATGAAAATTCCAGAATATATTCTTCGAAAGTATATCTATCGACGTGCACAAACAGATTTGCGTACCATACGTTCCTTCGGTGCGACAAAAAATAGTTCCGTATATTCGAAACTGAATTACTCAAAAAAATCAAAAGAATATATTCTGGAATTTTCATCAACAAACTATTTTTGATAAGTGAGAAATTTGATTTTTCTGAGTAATTCAGTTCTGAATATATGGAAGCAGTTTTTTTCGTACCGAAGGAACGTATGGTTCGCGAATTTGTTTGAGCACATCGATAGATATAGTTTTGAAGAATATATTCTGAAATTTTCGTTAACAAACTATTTTTGATAAGTCTGAAATTTGATATTTTTGAGTAATTCAGTTCCGAATATACGGAACTATTTTTTTTCGCACCGAAGGAACGTATGTTACGCAAATTTGTTCAAGAACATCGATAGATATACTTTTGAAGAATATATTCTGAAATTTTCATCGACAAACTATTTTTGATAAGTGAGAAATTTGACTTTTTTGAGTAATTCAGTTCCGAATATACGGAACAATTTTTTTTCGCACCGAAGGAACGAATGGTACACAAATCTGTTAGAACACG